GGTATTTGAAATGAACAAATCATTGATTTTGCAGAATCTATCATGTGATCTCCAGAATCATTTCTATCAGTAAGGCTGTATTTTCCAATCACTGATCCTTCCTCTTTGCTCCTAACCTTTGCATTCCAATCACCAGTAATGATCAATACATCTTGACTGAATGTTTGATCAACTTTCAGATTGAAGAAGTTGGTAGAATTCTTCTATTTCATCCTCACTGGCTTTAGTGGTTGGTGTGTAAATCTGAGTAACAGTTGTATTAACTGGTCTTCCCTGTAGGTGCATGGATATTAGCCTATCACAGACAGCGTTGTACCTCATGACTGATGTGGATATGTTCTTTTTGACAATGAATGCAACACCATTCTTCTTCCATTTGTCATTCCCGGCACAGTAAACTATGTGGTTGTCAGATGCAAAATGGTCAATACCAGTCCATTTCAGCTAACTAATGCCTAAGATATCGATGCTTATGTATCCCATTTCATTTCTGACAATTTCTAATATACAAAAGCAGTTATTATTAAAGTGAGCTCTTTCTTAATTAAAGGAACACAATTAGTAAGTCTGCCAGAACTTCAGAAGTGGTCTTTTCCCTAGTTTATAAATTAAGAAGCAAAACTTTTAAGGGCTTTACCCACTACTCCTTAACTATTGTTGCGGTTAAGTGCTGTTGAGATGGTTCTGACTCATAGTGGCCTTGTGTAGGGTTTCTAAGGAGAGGCTGGTGAGTTTGAACCTTGCAGTCCAGTGCTTATCCTAAAGTGTCACAGCATGACTCCTTAACTAGTTAGTATTAAATGGAGTTTATTGTGTTCTTTGAATTGGCCTTTACTGGCCTGCTGCCATGATTATTAAAGTCTTTATTAAGCTACACAGTAAAAAAGAAGTCGTAATACTGGAACATCATTTATGCAACAACTGTGAGAATTTCTTAAATAAACTTAAGGACTAACAAAAAGAGACAACAATAAATCAAAAAATTTTCTGATTATAATAAGTGCTATGAAGTTATAAATGGTGCAATCACATAATAAGTGATTACACCACACTTATTACTTCATAACACTTACCATAATCTGAAATTTTCTTGTTTGTTTATTGTGGAGTCCTGGTGTGACACTATAGGATAAACACTCAACTGCAAGGTTGGTTTAAACCACCAGGTTGGGGTTCAAACTCACCAGCTGCTCCTCAGAAACCCTATACAGGGTTGCTATGAGTCGGAACCAATTTGATGGCACTTAACAATAACAATCGATACAGTGAAAGACTGGGAGTGAGATGGAGTTAGTTGCACAGTGAGATGAGGTAAGTGTCTTTGCAAAAGAGGTATTTGTGCTAATACTGAAAGGCTAAGGAGGAGCACATTCTAAGGAAAAGGAAGCAGCACCAAGTGAAAACCTTTGAGGAAGGAAAACCTTGGAATATTTGATGAACACATGAGAAAGTAGCATGAGATGAGGCTGGATAAATGAAGTCAGATAACAAAGAGAGGTTACAGTTAGGAGTTTGAAATATCATAAACTATACAAAGGCAAACAAAGGACTATAAAGAAGAATGATATGAGTTAATGTATTAAAAATGACAAGAAAAACAACTTATAGAAAACAGTCTGGAGATGGAAGCAAGAAATTCAGTGAGATAGTAATTGTTAATGTTTGTTGCTGCTGCTTCCAATTCATACTGACAGTGTATGGAGTTTTCAAGTAGCAGCTGGTTGGCTTGAACTGCCGATCTTGCAGTTAGCAGTCTAGTGGCTAACCTACACAGTGTCATACCAGTACTCTAATTGTTAATGGTCCAAATTAAAAATGATGATTTTGTTGTTGCTGTTGTTATGTGCTGTGGAGTCGGTTCCGAGTCATAGTGACCCTGTAACGAGGCTGTAAATCTTTACGGGAGCAGAAAGCCTCATCTTTCTCCCGCGGAACAGCATGATGATAGTTTGCACTAAACTGAAGACAGACAGAAGATGATATATTAGGATAGATTCTAGTTTCAAAGTAAAAGGAAAGAAGGAATTAATGAACAACTAGATAAATGAAGGAAAATTAGCTGACAGTAAAGAAAGAATCAGGACTCTGATTTAGGCATCCTAAATTCTAAATGTTTGGTAGACGTAGAAACAATGTCAAAAATGAAATTCAATATGAATACAGCAACTGGAGAGAGATCTGGGCTGATCCAAATTTGAGAATTATCAACATGTTGTTGTTAGCTGTCAGTGCATAGACCCAATTCATTGTGATCCCTTGCACAGAGGAACAAAAAGCTGCCTGGTTCTGTGCCATTTCCATGAGAGGTTGCAGAATGAACTGTCGTGATCCATAGAGTTCTCACTGGTAGATTTTTGGAAATACATCTCCAGACCTTTCTTCCTAGCCCATCTTAGTCTAGAAGCTCTACTGAAACCTGTTCAGTATCATAGCAACATTCAAGGCACCAATAACAGATATGGAGACTCTGTATAGGTTTTCCCAAGCTTTAAATCTTTGAGGGAACAACAAGGGAACAGAAGCCTCATCTTTCTTCGGTAGAGTGGCTGACAGGATCAAACCGCGATCCTTGGGCTTTATTCAGATTGTATTTAAAGTTATGGGTCTGGATCAGCTCACCTAAGAAGATAATAGAAAAAGAGAAGAAAAGGAGGCCCAGAATATATATATATTTACTACTTGGCATGACTATGATCTGTCCAAAGGAAAATAGGAATAAAGAAATAAAGGAGGAATTACAAGAGGTGAAAATAGCAATGAAAAACAGGTGAAGGGGCTGGAATGCTTTCTAGGTAAAAAGATATTTGTAACAAAAATATAACAGCAATTCTAATAACTGTGATAACATGGAAACAATCTTTATGTCCAACAAGAATATCAGAATTAAATAAATTAATATACATTTATTAAAATTATGACTTTAGAGAGTTCTAATGACACAGCAACATGTTATTAATGCTGAGTATCTAATGCAAAACATTTATTCTAAATAAAAAATTACTTTTCAGTCTTACTTTGAGCTCCAAATTCATTAATAAGGTTATAGTTTTAAAATAAAATCATTCCAAAATAAAGACTACCATACTTTCTCTTGTGTCTCACGTGTATTCCCAAATAAATGTGTTCATTCTATGAAGTACTCTTGCATTTTTAAAATTAAAAAACAGATTTTTTTCATTGAAAAAGGCAAATATGCCCTTCTATTTTAAAATATATTAATTACAAATGTTACCAGGTGTCTGCCAAGTTTCTATGTTCAGCTATACCACACGCCATCTTTTGTAGCATTAGCTTTTTATTTTTTTACAAATAAACATGAAAAAACACATTTCTTACATAGCACAATCATCAAAATTTGGACAACTCAGAAAATGAAAAGAATCTACTTCTACTAATAATTTTATATTTTATAAACATTTCTGTTTAATATGGTAATTCTATTTACCAAATATATATTCAAATAATACAGCTTTATATTAAAAGCTTCTGTTAGCAGCTGGCAGAGGAATGTATTCCAAGATGTAGTTTTCTTCTGTTCTTACCTGTCTACTCTTTCTCCCAGTCACTTTTAGATTAGGAAGGCTACAAAGTTTTAATATGCATAATGAATGGTTATTCATTACAAAACTATAATCCAGGCAGACAAGGAAATCAAGATATCAAGAACCCAGGAATGGCCCTAAACTATCTACAAAATGCTTGAACTCAGTAACTTCATTTTCTTAGTAGCTTTGCTGGTAACAAAGATCCATTGCTAAGAATAAATCATTATTTCTTTAATCTTTTAAAAACCTGTGAAGTTTTGTTCAATTTTTAGTTTAATTAATCTTTTGTTGTTTACAAGTAGCAAAAAAATAAAACTGAGAGAATTAGTCTACGTTTTATATAATCAAACCAAACCAAATCTGGTGCTGTCAAGTCAATGCCAACTTATAATGACTCTATAGAATGAAGAATATAACTGCTGCCCATAGGGATATCCTTTAAAATACCAGTTTTATCTCACATGACTGCCATTCTCCCCTGTAATTTTTCTGTGTGTAATAAAAAAGCTAACTGCAAAGGTAGTCTTCTTTCCCTGAACTTTCCATAAATATTCACAGGCTAACTTTTACATATATAACTATTACAAGATGGCACTGAATTGTATACAATTTATTAAACTAATATTCAATGTAGGTTTAAATATTAAACTTTACTTGGGAAACCAACTTTTCTCCCTTAGTTTGTATTTACCCATAAATACAACTTTCTAACCTTTTCATCACTGGTAGTGGACTCAGGGTGAGGTAAAGGACTATCCTGGTGAGTTGTTTCAACAACAGAAGGCTCCTCAATTTTGTTTCTTATGATGGGTGTGGCAAGTGGGGATAAATCTAGAGGCATCTAAAATGCAAATATTTAGAAAATGTTAGAAGTTTAGAAATAATTGATCAGTAGAGCTATAATATGAAAGCAAAAAGGTTACAAACAATCATTACTATTCTCTAAGAAATGCTCTCTTTTCCTGTTAGCAACCTACTTTTTTAATGTCATCTTCTGATGCTTTCTTGAATTCATTCTCAAATGGACTTGCCAACTCATTAAACAAACCCACTTCTTCACAGTTTTTCAAGAATCTTGTTGGTGTTGGGGTCTGATCTGAAATAAATCCCAAGTAATCACATAGGTTTAAATATCATATAGAACTCTAAAATATAGCTAGTAAATTAACAAATTAGCAGGAGTGGCTCAGTGTTGTTAATTTTCTCTTTGGAAAGACCTCTTCCTTTAAAGCAAACAAAATTTTGTTAAGTTTTTGTTGCAGTTTAAGATAAATTCTCCAACTTTATGAACCACAGAGTATGAAAGAAGTTCCCCTTGCTCCTTAATCCACTCTTTCTGAGTAGCGGGTACATACATCCTCTACTTCAGACTGACTATTATCATTTGCACCGTGATAAGAATCTTTTTAAATTCACACTATTAAAAACTATGATTGTTGAAAATACATGCCATTTTGAAGAAAACTAGGACAAGAGCATGTATGTTCTCCTTAAACTGGCCCTTCCAGTAGCTGTTCATAATCTATTATGAGAGTGTAAGATTATGTAAAACAATATTTAGTAGGTAGATCAAAATACTACAAGGAAGAAAAGGAAAGTTTAAAAAAGAGCTCTTACAATAAACAAAACTTTACTACTATCATTGAAGTTAGTTTTGAATTTTAATGTATTTTATAAAGTTGGTACAAGGGAGTACATCAGAGTCACATAACCACAGAATGTTCTAAGCTTAATTTTTAGACAGCAAAGGAATAATCAACTCTACTTTTTTACAACTTAAACAGATTAACTACACTGGAATACCCAATCATGTTATGCACATTAATACGAGTGCTGTGTGTACGGTGCACATGCATTAGCTCTAGGCAAATTTCCAACTATGCCTATGTTGAATGAAAAACAGCAAATTTATTAACTTTTTTCCTTTTAAGTCTCATTGACTTATGGCTGTTTATTCACACTGATCAAAGTTAGTAGTACATTCAAATTCTAGTCACTTTAAAAATATAATTTGGGACATCACTTTTACAGGTCATAGCAGGGGTTAAGATTAAGCTAAATAAAAGTACTCTAGTTGAATCCTGGTTTAAGATAAAATGCTCACAAAGTCTTTTGTTTGAGATTGAAACTTGCATATTTATGAATTACTGTGTCTGGCCAGTAGGCATTATTTACTATTTTATCTCTTCCCTTTCCACACATACACTACGGATAGGTTTGCTATATATAAATACTTTTAAGACTAAAATGACCCACTTGTCACACACATATTAGATATAATGCTGATTCAGGCATTATTAACATTATCAGGATTACTGAAGGGATTCTACTATGTCATCATTTTACTTGCTAGCCTATAATACCTCCCCTTTACCCCCCAAAATCTCCAAAACTGTATTACAGTAAGGGCCTAGTATATATGCATCAGCTTAAGTCCATCATGACTGAATTAGTGAACTGAATATAATTTGACTCTTCTGTTCATGCCCAGAGGTCCTGGTGGCACAATGGTTAAGCACTCAACTGAGATCCAAAAGGTCAGTGGTTCAAACCCACTAGCTGCTCCTCAAGAGGAAGATATGGCAGCTTGCTTCTATAAAGATTTACATTCCTTTACATCTTACGGGGTAGTTCTATTCTGTTCTACAGAGTTCCTATGAGTCAGAATTGACCACTGTAGCAAAGTTCACTAGAAGGTTCTTAACTTGTGATAAAAGGATGGAAAGTATTTAAAATAAAAATTTAAAAACATACCATATTTCTACACAAATAATGTAATGAAAAGATCTTGGGGAGAGGGCACAGTTGGCAAAACTGAAAAAATATGGCAGTTATTTTTATCAATGATTACTGGACCCAACGGGCTTGAGAAGAGAAGAGTCAATATAAACACATTTAACATGCAAACTGCTTATAGCTATTTATCATAAAATATGTATCACACACATCATGCATTCTACTTATATAGTAACACTACACTACTTACCTCAATATATATTATAAAACTTATGGTCAGGTGCAGTCTTTGGATTTTTTTTTTTTTTAATAGTATTAAATGTAATATGATAGGAAAGCAGTTTTTAGAAACCAATCTGAAAACACTTCTTGAGTTAACAAATACAGAGAGGAAGAAAAGCCTCTAAGGTAGGAAGTTTCCGAGAAACAAAGCCCTCCATGCCTAGGAGAGCACAGTTTCCAGGCTACTGTTTTACTTATTTGTCTGCTCCCTAGTTTATGTATTTATCAATTTTGGCAGGAGGGGATTGTAGCTCTAAACTTATCTTACGTGCAATATTTTAAAGAAATGCATATATCCTGCTCTTCTCTAGTTTCCTCTTACTTACATAACTTGAAGACATGTTTAAAGTTCTCCTATATTGTTTCTATATAAATTGTTTATGATAAATGATTAACTATATTATCTTATTTTTTATGACAAAAAATTTGATATTGAAAGTGTAAGAAGAACTATCTAATAATTGCCTTATCATCTTTCGTGTGGCACTGTGGGTTAATGCGCTGGATTGCAACGTTGGTTTGAATTGCAAGGTTGAATGTTCAAAGTAACCAGCTGCTCCTCTGAAACCCTACACAGGGTTGCTATGGGTTGGAACCAACTGGACAGCACATAACAATAGCAACAATCTCTCTAAATTATTGCATATGACAATTGATCTCTACCTTGGGTAATAATTTAAAAGTATTAACAGTATTCAGGCATAATAGTAAAACCTAAGAGGATAAGCACTGGGCTGTTAAACACAAGTCCAGAGGGTCAAACCCACCAGATGCTCCTCGGAAACTCTCTACAGGCTCCCTGAGTCGGAACCAACTCAACAGCACTTAACAGCAATAAGCTTTCAAAGAGAAAAGAAGAATTTAATATTCAATTTGACATTTATGATTTGTGAATCTGTGGTTTTGCCATTAAAAGGTTCATTTTTATCTTATTAATTTATAAAAAATATATATAAATGCAGTGAAAATAAACATAGATGTGTGTGAATATATTTTTTAGAAACCAAAAAGGGCAGCTAATACAGCATGGAAGGACAATAAACCAATGCATGAAATTTCACATATTGTGAAAGAGAAATGATCTGCTTAGGTTAACAGTATATGTTCAAAGGCTCAACATACAAAAAAGCAATGATTAATATAGGTCCCTTTTACTGAGAGGAGTTTATTAACATAAGTGTTCATCTGAAAAGACATATTAACAAAATTCTAAAGAACACAAGTGCTAAGTGCTCTATCCCCAATAGGAGGAGCTTGATCATTTTGTATCTTCACACAGCATTGTAAACCAGGCTCAAGACAGGGAAAAGAAACATGGACAAAATATTCCATCTGTTCAATTATTAGTTAAATGTAAACTTTGGAGATGGTATGAATGTTCCCAAAAACTGACATTGAAATCTATACTTGAAAACTACACAAAATAAGTGAAATGAATGGTTGATCATTAGGAAAAATGGAAATGTAATGGGTAAAATACATGTTGCCAACATTTACTGCAAATGAAGTCACTGGAATATCACCAGACTATATTATTTACAGAGAATACACAAATATTTGTGCACAATCCAGGTGAAATATGTACATAAGCTATTAATAAAAGCATATACTAACCAGCCACAATGACACTGTCATTACGTGCTGGACCAAATTTCAGTGTCATCTCATGTTTATGTTTATGGACAGCCAAATGATCCTCGTTGGTAAAACGCTGTGGCAAAAAGTTTTAAAATATAGTTAAGATTTTCAATTTGATCAAATTAAGTAAAATGATAAGGAAATTCATTTCCACAACATGTAAAACCACCATTAACAGTGAAATAGCAGCTTGTTAACTATAAAAGAATCTATTATTGTTAGTATAGATATACTAGATTTCAAATAACCATACAGAAACCCATTATTTAAGTAATACTAAATAGTTCATATAACTCATTGAGATCATTTGGGGAAAAATACCCTTAGGCAAACAAACTTTACATGAACTTCATTTAGATGCTAAAAATAGAGAATTTTCTGTCATAGCACATTAGAAATATATACAAATATGGTACTGTATTGACCTAGAACTTCAAAAGCTACTTACCACTTTTTAAATGAGAATTATAAGATATAATTCCTGGATAAATTAAGAAATAAATTGTGTTTTTTATGCTATCATATTAAAGTAATAATAATATCCAGTGATATAGCAATACAATAATAAAGCAGTTCATTTTAAACTAAAATTAAATTTAATCTTAATTAAATTTTATCTTAAAATATCCAGTGATTTTAATCACTTAGTTTTACCACAGTATTCATACATCATACAAAAATGAAGCAAAATAAAGCTCTCCATCACTGTTTTCTAGAGTTAACTTGGCTAGGTACTGCATGTCAAAGGCAACACTTAAAAGACTGCAATGTGAGAAATGTATTGCTTAAGTATCTCCTGAGGATATCTGAATACCAATACTTGTGAAAGAATATTTTACAACTGAAACTAGGGAGCACATTTACATTTTTTGCTCTTCTACAGCAATGATTTTTAAATGCTAACTTAGGAGGTCTAAACTCACTCTCTAGCTATTTATAAGTAGGGATGTTAGAACTACATATATATTTGAAATTGGTTCCCCTAAACAATACAATGGATTCCCCTTTCTTGTGGTCCCTCTCTAGCCAAACATATAGTGTAATTTTTAAACAATGTAAATTTTTCAGTATGGTTTTTCAACCTAATTTTTTTTTTTTTAATGGATGACATTGAATACCTATGTCTTCCCTTGAGTTCCTGAGTGGTATAAGCACTCAGTTGCTAACTGTAAGGTTTGAGGTTTGAAGCTATTTAGAAGTGTCTTGGAAGAAGTGCTTGGTAATGTACTTCAGAAAAATCCACCACTGAAAATGACACACATAAAGTTGCCAAACTGTGGATCGACTCGAAGACAACTGAAAAAGTCATCCTTAACCCAACCCACCAGCCCTCTATAACCTGTGGAAGTAAAACACTCTCATTTGTGGCCTATTAAGCTCTGCACAGCACCTTGATTTTAGCACCTATCACAATGATACGGATTTTCATACTTTTGTTGTTGTGAAGTGTCACTGAGTCAATTCCGACTCACAGTGACGCTGTATAGGGTTTCCGATACTTTATTTCTCCTATGGAGCAGCTGGCAAGCTTGAACAGTGGACCTTGTGGTTTGCAATCCAGTGCTTATTGTATGGAGCTGTTGCACTCCCCTTTCATACTTTTAGGAAATAATAATTAGTGTGGTGCTGTAAGATAAAGGAGTGGACCACAAGGCTGATTTGAACTGCAAGGTCAGAAGTTCAAATTCACCAGCTGCTCCTAGGAAACTCCATACAAGGTCACTATGAATCGGAGCCAATTTGACAGCACTTAACAATAACAATAACAACAACTATTCAATAAATGCTAGCTGAAAGAATGAGCTCCTTACAACAAAATAATTGCATCTTAAAGAACAGCCTAAGGGAAGAAAGAAAAAGTTACAGACTGTTCACGTAGGTGAATTTTAATTTAACTTGGCTATATAAGGAGCTCTGGTAGCGTAGTGGTTACGAATCGGGCTGCGAACCTTAAGGTCAGCGGTTCGAAACTACCAGCCGCTCCGCGGGAGAAAGATGAGGCTTTCTACTCCCGTAAAGATTTACACCCTCGGAAACCCTGTACTGGGTCGCTATGGGTCGGAACCGACTCGATGGCACTTAACAACAACAACATATTTTGCTTTATCATAGTAAGTATAGCATAGCACTAAGTCTTTAGAATACTGCACATAACAATTGCCTATCACTATATGAACCCTCTTCAAAACCAGCTTGTACTCCAAATTAAAGGAGAAAGTTAAGATGCGGCAGTACCTCAGTCCCTTATTTATTTCTTCACTCTTGAAACATTTACTGAGCACAAGTTACAGGCCCTAGGGCTACAATCCAGTTTTTCCCCACTCAAGTGTTATCTTCCTTTTGATTTATCATTACAACAATTTCTCCCAAATTCTGGAGAATCAGTAGCAATGGTTCTCTGACAGACTACGGAATAACAAACCTATTGTAGAATGAACATATCTGTCTCGTTTACAGACATATTTCATTGCTTTTTATTTTGTAGTATCAGTTTTAAATGACTTACAGCTACACTTAAATTATCTTAGAGCAAGATTCATTAAACATGTGTGGTGCTGCAGGTTAATATGCTGGACTGCAAGCAAGGTCAGCTTGAACCAAAAGGGAAGCGGTTCAAGCTCACCAGCTGCTCCTCAGAAACTCTATACAGGGTCACAATGAATTGGAACCAACCTGAAGGCACTTAACAAATACAAACAAGGACTAGCAATGTGGTTTCTCCATTGAAGACAATCATTAAACATTTGTGAATGAATGTTTTAGTAGCAGCCCCAGATTTTAAAAACTCCAAAATCAGCATAAATAATATGTAAGAACTTGAAAAGATTTCACATAGGAATTTTATCCTACCACTATTCTGTTTCAACTAGTTTGATCAAAAATATGAATTGGGCTTTACTGTACAACACATGCAAAATGGCACTAAACCTAATTCTAAGTGAAAAGAAGCAGTTAGAAAGACTCTAAAAATATTCAGCATCATGTAAGCTATTAAGAGGCAACATAAGGGGCACACATACAAAATCTCATGCAGGACCCACATATCAAACTTATCTAAATGCTAGTTATAAGGGATTACTGATCATACAGTGATATTATTATATACATGGATAGCAACACTTTCCAATGTGAAGGAAAAATTACTGTGAAACTGACATGTGATATAGATGAGTTTGACCTTGGCTACCATCTAAGAAAGTATATTTACTTTTAACAAGAATCTTAAAAGACACTGTCAAAAAGAAGTCACAAGGAAAATTTATATATATTGAAATGTATACTTTTCCCAATAAATACTTAGCTACTACATGATAAGGAAATTTTTTGTAGAATCTATTTGGAATGTTTTATCAGACAAATTAAAATGACTATTCTAAAAAGTTAAGTTTTGTAGAAAAACTATAATGACATTACTAGTCCACTGAATTCATATAATTTCTTCTAGGCAATTCAAAGCACAAGCCCAGTGTAAAATGCTAACAGATGTGCACAAAAACATAACCAGACTATGAGCATACAGTTACACAGATACAACTAGTACACTGTATACTTCCTTCACTAGTTGAAGGACTCTGTGTTAATTAACGTCTATGGAAGTTACTGATCTGTGCAAATACTCACACCTCTTCATTAAATTTTAAATTCAATATAAGCTGAATGTTTAGAACCTTTGTAAAACTCTCCTCTGTCTGAATCTGAGGCAATAGGTAAAATAAGACTGATAAAACAACAACAATTATTAAAACTAAATAAGGGACACATGGATTTATCATACTTCTTTCTCTACTCTTATAGTCTGATACTTTCCATTAAAAAAACAAACAAAAAAAAACTAAGCTCATAAATATATTATAATACTTTTAAAATAAAAGCCCATTCAAAGACAACTGAAGATTTGCACAAAAACATAAACCAGAAATTATTCTACAGTGTTTCCCAAATACTTTTTTCACAATGAACCACAGGTTTATATGGTATACAGTGGTATGCAAGGGGTCTTCAAAAAGTTTGTGAGAAAATTACATTATGATTTAATCCCATTTTTCATGAACTTTTTGAAGGCCCCTCATATAAAACATAGAGTCCTGATGGAGCTCTAGGATAAGCACTGAACTGTTAAGTAAAAGCTCAGTGGTTCAAATTCACCAGTCACTCTTTGGAAACCCTATACTCAGACGGTTGCTATGAGTTGGAATCAACTTCATGGCACTTAACAACAACATTTAAAACATTGTGTTATGAACTGAATTGTGTCCCCCCAAATTATGTGTTGAAATTCTAACCCATGTATCTACAAACATAACACTACCTGGAAATAGGGGTTTCTTTCGTATGTCAATGAGTAAGCACTTAATAGTTCAGAGTTATAAAAGAAGATATACTAGATACAGAGGCAAAGACGTGGACAGATGTCATATAAAGTTAAACACACACAACAGCTGCATCTACAAGCCCAGGAACTCCAAGGATTGCAGGCTCCTGGAAACTGAAAAAGGAATTCTGGTAATATAGTATAGTAAATGTTGGGTTCCTAATTCATGGTTGGCAGTTTGAACTCACTAGTCACTCTGCTCCTGTAAAGATTACGGTCTGAAAAACCCAAAGTGAGCAGCAGTTCTACTTTGTCCTATGTTGTTGATGTTGTTAAGTGCTGTCGAGTCAGTTCTGACTCACAGCGACCCTGCATAGGGTTTCCGATGAGTGGCTGGTGAGCTTGAACCACCGACTTCGCAGTTCAAACTGACCTTGCAGTTCAATGCATTAACCCACAGTGCCACACCAGAACTCCACTTTGTCCTACAGGGTTGCTATATTTTGGAATTGACTCAGTGGTAGTGGGTAGAAAATGAAAAGTCAGCAGTTTGAACCAACCAATTGCTCCTCGGGAGAAAGACCTAATAATCTGCTCCTGTAAACAACAGTCTTGAAAACAGGGTTTCTAACTGGTTCTTCCAGGATCATTCATGGCTGAGGAAGTGAAACCAGAATAGACCTAAGATTTTTAAATTGGGGTGAACCCAAAATGTAAAAATAACAGGTTAAAATCCTGCTAGAAACTTAATCTCCCTCTTATAAAACATGAATAGCATACATGTTGCATACCATCTAAATCTCCTGCCCACTGGATTCTGAGCAGAATTGGGAACAGTGGTGTCCTGTTCAAAGGGGTCTTTGCGTGTCATTCTCCACAGTCCTGCCAATAGTACAATCTCATGCATCAGGCTCCAATAAGGGCTCACTATGCCTCCTCCCACTCTCCCATTCCAGGGTTATCATTCACTTTGGATCCATTTTTTGGTTTCATTTCTTCAACCATGACTAAATTAGTTCAAACTGCTTTGAGGTCCTGCTTGGAAACCCTAAGGGGCAGTTCTGTCACATAGGGTTGCTGAGAGTCAGAATCTACTCAGCTGCATCCAACAAAGAGCAACAGTAGAAACTCAAACAGACAAAAAAGGACCGACCCCTAGAGCCATGACTTGAATTCAGACTTCTAGCCTGAACTGTAAGAATATAAATTTCTGTTCTTTAAGGCATCCACTAGTGACACTTATGTTACAGCACCAGGTAACTGAAGACATACGCCATAAACACAGAAAAGCATATACATATAATAAAAACACATCTCAAAAACCAATTATTTACACTACTCTCTTAGAGTTACTCTTTTAGTTTACCTTAACAAATGCTAGCTGATATTCACTGAATTGATTCACAACTCAGTAATGGTCATGACATGACCTGCTATTTGAAAAACATTGTCAGGACATTTGTAAAACTAATTATGGGATAAAAATTCAGTTAAAAAAACAAAATTATTTTCTTTTAAAAGAAAAAAATGTATAGTATTAATAACTTCTGGAGTCCTGCTGTGCTGCTGCGGGTTAGTGTGCTGGACTGCAAGGTCAGCTTGAACCACAAGGTCAGCGATTTAAACTCACCAGTCACTCCTGGGAAACTCTATGCAGGGTTGCTACGGGTTGGAACAAACTCAACAGCACTTAACAACAATATGGTCATCAAGTCAGTGTGGTGCTTGCATAAAAGTTGAAAGACCAATGAATGGAAAATAACAGACAGTATAGCAATAGCCCAACATGTATAAATCATTTGAATTCAGTCTGGTAAAGAAACCAAGCCAATTTAATGGGGAAAGAAAAATCTTTTCAACATATGATGTAAGATATCTGAAAAAGCATATTGAAAAAAAAAAAAAAAAAACCCAAGAGCTTCACCCTTACCTCATAATATACACAAAAATTAATCCAAGATGGAATACAGAGGAAAACAAAGTAGAATTATCTTCGTGTCTTAAAGATAGGCAAAAGTTTTTAGACAAGCCACAGAAAGTAATAAAAGAGCTAAGAAATACATAGAGCTTTGTTAACTTTAAAAACATTTACTCATCCAAATACATTATGAAAAGTAATAAGGAAACCACAGGCTAAAAGAAAATTTTTATAAAATGTATCTAGCAAAGGCCTGGTATTCAGGATTTATAAAGAGCTTTTATACCTCAATAATTAGAAGACAAAACAACCAATTTTTTTAAATGGGCAAAAGATTTTAGGCACTCACAAAAGAAAGTACAAAAGTTCAATAAGCACACAGCGTTAATCGTTTCATTTGTCATCAAGGAAATGCAAATTAAAACCACAATGAGATACCAATGCACACACATCAAAGTGGCGAAAATAAAATAAATAAGTAAAAAACCAAATGCTGTCAAGGAAATGGCACAATAGCACCTTTCATCTACTACGGGAGGGGCTGTAAAGATAGTAAGTTGCCTCTCTTTGCCAGAAGGAAGATAGTCAAATTCCCCCAAATTAAGTATATATCTATCATATGATCTAGGCATTGCACTTGTAGGTATCTACCAAAGAGATAATAAAGTATGTACCCATAAAAGATTTGTACACAAAAGCTTACAGCAGCTTTATTGGTAACAACTAAAAAAACGGAAGCAGACCACTTATAAACAAGTGAACCAATAAATTGTAAAATAATGAAATACTATTCAGCAATGAAAAGAAGTTAAGTATTGATCATAAAACAGCATGGAGAAATCTCTAATTATATAGTGTGAAGCAGCCAGACAAAATTTCAAACAATATAATTCTATTATATAAAATTTTAAGAAATGTAAACAGTAAAATTTACATTTATGTAAATGTTAATTTTAATTTTAGGAAATGTATAGTGGTAGAAGGCAGATCAGTGGTTGCCTGAGGGGAGGTTAAAGAGGATATTTTGGTGTTCTGGATATGTTCCATTTCTTGATTGTGGTGATGATTTGATGATTTTATGTATGTATGTGTGTGTGTGTGTGTGTGTATATATATATATATATATATATATATATATATATAGAGAGAGAGAGAGAGAGAGAGAGAGAGAGAGAGAGAGAATGAGAATCTTGGTGTGGTGCTGTGCGTTAATTTGCCAGACTACAAAGCCACTTGAACTGCAAGGTTGGCGGTTCAAGCTCACCAGCTGCTCCTCGGAAACCCTATACAGGGTCCCTATGGGTCGGAAACGACTCAACGGCACTTCACAACAACATATATATATATATATATATATATATGTATGTATGTATATGTCAAAAGTTACCACACTGTATGCTATAAATTATCTACTGTTCACTATATATCAATTATATCTCAATTTAAAATATCAACAAAAAATAATGAAACACCTTAATACTTACTTATGACTTATACTCTGTAAATTTAGTACTTTGTCATTTTGTTACACCTTACCAACTTTTAAAAATTCTCCCTTACTGTCTATGGTTATTTTAGGAGTAGAATAATTATAATAGCAATATATTAATAATGGTCAGTTAAAAAAACACTAAAATATTTTTTGAAACTGCTTCCAAGCATGCTCTGTATTAAAGATGTTAGATTTAAAAGCATTAATACATTAGTGATACTGCCAGAGGTATATATCAGTTAATTTCATATGGTCAGTAAACAAAATTATTTTCATATAAGATAATGTATATTTCACTTCCAATTAGGCAGTTCATCAATAATTTTCCACCAACAATGGTGAAATCAGTGTACATTTAAACCTCGGACTTCTTTCTGTCTAGGCACCTTTGTATTGTAAGACTTAACTCCTCTGTTCCTCCATTTTACAAAAAGGTTGAGGGAAATCTTTTAGTGAGAACATAATCTGTCATAAGTGCTTTAATAAATATGAAATATACAAAAGTATGCAAAGTAATTTATATATTACCTGGCCACATCCAGGGGCAGTGCATAGAAAGGGTTTGTCATCACTCATATTCCACAGGTCCTTGTATTGCCTATAATACAATATTAAGAGATATTTTATAATAAAGGATAACTTAAAACGTAAAGCCCATGATTTAATTTTCACTAAGCTCATCATTTTTTGTATTTGAGAGCTGAAAAACAAATTACTGACATTTTGTAGTCTTATCTTCCATCCTCTTATATAGAGAGTAGTCAATACATTCAACACAGATTTTTCACTATAGAAGAAACATTAGGAATCCTATCAGGCTAAACCTTCTTGCTCAATGGGCTAAAAGTCTGAAGTGGCTTTAAAAAGTTTTTGAAAAAATGTAATGACAAGCTACGTAATAAAATTTTTCACAAACTTTTTGAGGCCCACTCTCATTTATAGTGAATAAACTGCATTCATTAAAAAATATTAAATGAGCAAATAATCTACAGTCTTTAAAGGACTGTATCATATAACTACGGAAATAAACTGTGGTAGTAAAGTTACTATCTCCAGGCCTAACCCCTCTCTTTAAGTTCTAGTCTAATATTATTAACTAATGACTAAACATTTGTATCTGGATCTAGCACCAAAACATCAACATATCTAAACATCAACATAGGCAAATACTTACATCCCCAAACTTATTCCTTTTCTTATGTGTGAAACACTATAGATCACTCCAAGGGAAATATGAAAATAAGAGAGAAACAGATTCCGGTCTCAGGGGATCACTCCGTAAAGTAGAGGATATATGATAGTGTTAACATAGCAAATTCTGATCTCTAGGTTTCCAGTTGCTTGCTGGAAATAGTCAATCTATAGCAAATGACTCTGCTTCTGCAATACTGCAATCAACTGACTTCTCCAGGGTAACACCCACTGCTTCATTAATTCCCATCTACATTATCAATTATCTCAGCTAAACTACCGTAGTGAGTTCTTTTCTGCCTTTCTTCCTCCTTCCTCTCCCCTCTAATTAGCCCCTTTATTATCCAATCTGTCTATAACAAACACATTAAGTTGTCTCTCTAATATGCATTCTTGCTGTCTTCCCGGTAAGAGATCCTCAACTTTATTCACAGAAGCATGTCCAGTCTCAGGCAAAGGCACATGCTTTTCTTATCATATAGTTGAAGGTAACCCATGGGAGAGTTCTTGTCATTAAGACAAGCAGAAGTCATCTGTGGGGATTTCTGGGAAAACTTCTCATTTATCTGAAAGAAGTTAAGATGAAGTTGGTGCCATTCACCTCTTTTTCTTGCTTTAAATGCTGATGAGTTGACTGGAGCTGTGGTACCCTATCTTATCAGGAGGTGATAAGCATGGGATGAAGCCAAAAGAATCTTAATGAAGCTACCTTTAGCACCATCAATAGTCTACATATGAATTCTGTGAGAAATATAAACCTGCTTGTTTAAGCTAATGCTTGTTCAATCACAAAATCCTATTAAAGTATTCCTAACTAAACTATAGTCCAGTACAGTGTCACTATGTCAGCCCCCTTAAACATGGCTTCTATTATAACACCAGCAGTGTACTGAACTACTTCATGTATTCCTAGTCATAGTCTTTGTAACTAGCAGCAAGCTTTTTTTTTCTAAGGGATCTGGGTAAGAGAAGGTGGGTAAAATTCTGATAGGATTATATGATTTAGGTAAGAGTGTTAACATGATTGTGAAAATTTGGAACTCTATACTGGTATAAAATAAGCCATCTCAGAGGCAGGAATGGGATCTCACTATCATCAAAGGAGAAGAGGCAGGAGTGGAGTGCTTCTTTTTGATTCAAAGATCCCTTATACACTGAACTTTGGTGATCCAGGGACAGAAAGCAATGACACCAAAGGAAGAGCAGAGGAGCAATAGCAACAGAACTTAAGAGCAATAGCATGAGACAGAGTAGTTGGTTTCCCAACCCATGAAATGAATGTCTTCCAGCAGGAACTTGCCTGAAATGTTTTTTAGGGGAAACTAGGTTTGCTCACCCATAGAGTTAGAACTGAGTGCCTTCAGGCTGAAGCTTATGGTGGAATGATGTGTTCTGTGGGTATTTATTTGTTGTTAAGTGCTATAGAATCGGTTCAGATCCATTGCGACCCTATATGTAGGGTTTCCGAGGAGCAGTTGGTGAGCTTGAACTGTCAACCTTGCAGTTCAAACCGACTTTGCAGTCTAGTGCAACAACCCACAGCACCACACTAGGACTCCTTGGGCATTTATTATTGTTGTTAAGTGCCATCGAGTCGATTCCGACCCACATCAACCCTGTATAGGGTTTCCAAGACGCAGCAGGTGAGCTTGAACCACCAATTTTGCAGTTCAAACGACTCTGCAGTCTGATGCATTAGCCCACAGTGCCACACCAGGACTCCGGCCCTAAAAGAGCTTTTTAATACTGGCCAGGCAGAGAAAGGCCTGGCTATGGGCATGGATGAGGAGAGGCTATACTGACTGGAATAATCAGGCCCAGAGCATTACTGACCCTGCAAAGTAACCTATCAACTTCCCTAATAAACCCCGTAACTGAGGATGACTGTCTTTGAGTTCTGTGCGGCCTTTGCAATGAATGAGTAAACCAAGATACGAAGTACAGAAGGTTGTGAGAGGATGCTTTGGTGCTCATTGTTTTTCTTCTAACATCCAACTGCTAAAAATTTTAAGAAGGTCCCTATTGTGTTTAGAAAAGACTCATCTGTCAGCTTGTCATACTGTGGTGGCTTGTGTGATGCTGTGATGCTAGACGCTAAGACACAAGTATTTTAAATACTAGCAGGGTCAACCATGGTAGACAGGTTTTGGCAGAGCTTCCAAACGAAAACAACAACAACAACGAAGACAACCAGCTAATATCACTATTAACCAAATTTACACACCAATCACTAAAGCCAATGATGATGAAATTGATGAATTCTACCAACTTCTTCAGTCTAAAATTGATCAAACATGGAATCAAGATGTATTGATAATTACTGGTGATTGAAATGCAAAGGCTGGAAACAAACAGGAAGGATCAGTAGTTGGAAAATATGGCCTTGGTGATAGAAATGATGCTGGAAATCACATGCTAGAACTTTATTAAGACCAATGATTATTTCATTGCAAATGCCTTTTTAAAACAACATAAAAGGCAACAATACACATGGACCTCATCAGATGGAATACACAGGAATCAAATGACAACATCTTAAAGAACAGACGGTGCAAAAAGTTAGTATCACCAGCCAAAACAAAGCTAGCGGCAGACTAGCTTGACTTGCTCATATGCAAGTTAAGGTTGAAGCTGGAGAAAATTAAAAGAAGTCCATGAGAGCCCAAATTTGATCTTGATTATTTCCCACCTAAATTTAGAGACTATCTTCAGAATAGATTTGATGCATTAGACACTAATGAGCAAAAGTTGGAAATACTGTGGATAACATCAGGAGCATCATATAGGAAGTAAAAGGTCATTACAAAGACAGGAAAGAAAAGAAAACACCAAAATGGATTATCAGAAGAAACGCTGAAATTTGCTCCTAGTGTAGAGATGCTTAAGTGAATGGGAAGAATAAGGAGGTAAAGAGCTGAACAGAAAACTTCAAAGGGCATCTAAAGCCAAGTATTATAATGAAAGGCGAAAAGGCCTTGAGTTAGAAAACCAAAAGGAAAGAATACACTCAGCATCTCTCAAGTTGAAAGAACTCAAGAAAAAATTCAATCCTTGAAATACTGAAGGATTCTATGGGCAAAATATTGAATGATGCCGAAATCATCAAAGGAAGATAGAAAGTATACACAGAATCACTCTACCAAAAAGAGATGGTGGATGATCAACCATTTCAAGAGGTAACATATGATTAAGAACCAATGGTACTTAGAAAGCCAAGCTTCACTGAAGGATGAAAAAAAAGTTCTAGGGACTGACAGAATACAAACTGAAATCTTACAACAAACTGATACATCATTAAGGGTGCCCATTTTTATACTTCTTTATTTCTGTGCTTTTGTTCTAACTCATCCCTCCAAGTTGCACAACGCTCCTTTTCCAAATTCTACGAATCTTTTAAGTCTGAGCTTAAAAGGTACCTCTTCAAAGAGTCCTTTCCTGATGATTCTAACTACATTCTGCTTCAATTTCTAGATCAGAATGCTACTATTAACACTTTTCCTAGTTGCAATTACTTCTATTTATATTATCTGCTTGATATAATCACTCTTAAATCTAATCCAACCTCATTTTATGAGAAAACTACAGCCCAAGTCACATCCTTTGTTAGTGGTATAGTTGAGACCAGAGTCCAAATTCAAAGCTTTTACTAGTTATTTTATGCTGTGTTCTCCTAATTCATTAAAAACTTTGTCAGAGGTTTGATATGCTTTTTTTTAATTCATTAATTAATTTTTTATATGCTTGATTTTTAAGGAGCCCATGATGGTTCAAAGCAGTCAATGCTTTTATGTTTTAAGCATGTACATAATAATCATTAAGAACATAAAGGCTTTTTCAGGAAGTCATAATTAACTGTCAAATTTGAGAAATATGCACACAATTTTTTTTCTTTCTCTGCTATTGTATCAAATAGGCTATAGATAACCCATTTATTTGTGGTACAAAGATGTAAACTTGGAGAAATTGATCTAAGGAGGTATTGCTACTTTTACTTTTGCTTTGCTTACCAAATAAAGATTCACTTATATGAATTTAGGATAAAATACATGCTACTACTCTGCCTCAGAATAATTAGCTATATAGGATGATCCCAGAGAAAATTACTTTCTTAAAACTATAAGGTTCTTTTAAAATTATACCTTGAAGAACAAACCCTAAAACATATAATAAAACTTGGTATTATGATTTCTAAATCCCCAAACGTAACTTCAAATGAGAATAATACAATAACTATATTAACTTTTCCCATTAGTTCTAAAAAGATCATCCCCGTAGTAATAAAAAGGTTTTAGCTGCACAAAATCTTGAAAGACTCTAATGGGTACTGTTCAGTAATTATACCTTCAAATGGTTAAGTTAACTAATTATAGGAGAGGGCTTCAAAAAATTCCATTATCTTTTCATTTC